ATGTCCGCTCGTGCCTCTCGCTTTCCTCGGGCTACCGCTTCTTTTCTCGCCGGGTTTGACAACCATGTTTCGTGTCCTCGCCGCTGGAAAAGCTGTGCGCTGAATACCAAACTCTCCGAGAAACGCTCTGCTACCAGATCATCGCGCTCCAAATCTGCGACCGGGCACTCTATGGCTCCGTCACCGGACTGCCAGGCTTTGTGAGTACAGAGAAGGCTGTGGTACAGGGTACTCACTGGACGCAATATTTGAGGGCGATGTTAAGAGCGCATGCTCAGAACGAGCTCCCATTGATACACCGCCACGCGGCGCTGACGTCACATCGCTGCGGTGGCACTGCTTTTGACAGGGCGCATGCGCAGAAGCTCCACTTGACGCGAATCTGGTTCCTGCGCGCGTGCAGTTCCCACACATTATGCGGAAACTGCTCGTTGGCCCACACTTTGTCGGGGCTTGTCTGGAAACAGCGCGTTACACGGGCTTGACGTCACGGAGCTGCGGCGGCGCAACTATCGCGCCGGAGCCGGGTGGTGTGGGCGAAAGGGCGCGCGTTTTGCATGGGCGGCGTAGCATTTCAGCATGCCGCAAAGTTGTGTAGCCGTTAATTGCAGCGAAAGGTACAGCAAAAGTAGCGGAGTGAGTTTCGACAAGTTCCCGGCTGACTCTGCAAGGCGCAGGAGTTGGATAACATCCGTGGATCGAAACTAATGGTCGCCTCGCACGGACGACCGTTTACGCGGCAAAGCATTTTCTTGAAGGCAAGTCTGGCTTCCATTTCAATCTCCGTCCCGAGGCTTGCTTATGTGCAGGGAAACCTTCATCTGGTGAGACAACCCAGATTTTGTTCGTACGGTGTTCGCGCACAAAGCACAAACCAAGCGCTTGTCGGTGGCTCGCTACCAGTGTTGGTGGCAACCCGTTACAACTAGCGGCGTTGCCCGTACCGCGTTACTTTTTTCTGTAATGTAATAACGTACGTGTTACTTCTTCAAGACAGCAACGGGGAAGGTACTTACGCTACTTATTTGGAATAACGCGGACTAGTAGTTACGTTACTCGTTACATATTCTTCCCAAGACCTGAAAACTAATTTTGTTTTCGTGCTTTCACACATGAGAAGACATTCTTCGCGTAAAATGTCAACTACAGCAATACGAGCACATTCGTTTACACGGTGCACTAGTACGGTCTCGGTGTAGGCGTTTCCTGCCCTCAGAGACACCCTCGCGTCGTGCAGTCAATGATAAGAGACGTAACGGCCTTGCAAAGAAAATTAGAGTTGTGGAATGTAATGGAACACTCTCAGACATGCTGAAGACACCATGAACGGTTTTGAGTTTCCAATACAAAAGCCTTTTGGAAAGAAAAACGCAACATTTGGACATCCATGGAGTTGCCAAAAAAGATTACTTTCTTTAATACTCCAGGTAAGTCAGCTTCAGCGGTGTTTCCGTAGTGGACCAGTAACATTAGAAGAAGTTCGATGCGCGGTAGACGAGTTGCCAAATTTTAAAACACCAGGGTCGCTAAACTCGTCAAACACAAAGTTGGGCACGAAGTTCGCAAAGCGTGCTGATTGGACTCTCGTGGCGTTGGCGTCACGCGGGAGGAGATGTCAATCATCCAAGCTCTCTCAGTGCTCAAATTCCAGCGAGAATGCTAGGCACAAAGTTGTAGCGAGCTTCATCAGAGTGCGCGCGAGGAACACCGTGGGGCCAGCCGATTGAACAGCTGCACTGATGACGTTGCGCCTGCGTGTCCCTACATCCCTACGCCGCGATAGAGTCAATGAAACGTAAATTGTACCTAGGCGGGCTGTAATTACTCTGAACTTTCCCGTCGCAAGATCGTCGTTTGTGGAAGTTATTGCTGACGACAAAATGACGTTTCACAACTTTGGGAAGGAGTTATTTGAGGCCGAAATCTTCGCTTCGGAATCGAGGCGAAGATTAAACTTTGTGATATTGTAAAGCCGTGCGCGGTGTATGCGGTTTTAGAGCTCATCTTCCGCCACTGTCAACAACGCCACCGGGGTCACCCACAGGCGTTATGTATAGAGACGTCGGTAATGACTGAGAGATGAGGGGGCGAGGGGGTATGGCGAGAAAAAGTCGTGGAAAGGGGAAAAAAGGTATCACCAACAGAAACACACACTCAAATAGGGGTCAGGAAGGGCCGTAGAAATTGTCTGGGAGAGAGAGAGAGAGAGAGAAAGGGGGTGGGGTGATAGTAGTTAGGAAGGGGATATCCCTTCCCCCAAATGTTTAGAGCGCAACTCTTATGCGCACGTTTCGAGCTTGAGCGGCGTCGCCGTCGGCGTAACCGCGCGCGCGTTGCATTATGGGACGTTTTTTCACTAAATTTGGTGGGGAAATTGACGTCACATGATTTTAACACCAATTAGGTTTCCCCGCTAAATGACAGGGGAGCAAGATAGGAGGAGGGGGAGTGGAGGGGCATACCCTCCCCTCCGTGCCCTCCCCTCCTCCTCGTCAAGAGCTGCGCTTTAATTCGAAATTACAGAGAACTGTAAACGTCTGTCATTTTTTTTTTTATTATAACTCTCTGAAATGCTATAGTCTGGGGTGGAGCGATATCCCCCCTCCCCTTACACCCTTATGCCCTTTGCGCCCTCTTTTTCGACGCAACTTGGGGGGGAAGGTGAATCGCCCCCCTCCCCGTTCTTCTGTTTCGACGACCCTGCTTAGAGGTGTTCCAACTAAGCGATGACGAGGAGCAGCACAGCGTGCAAATTTCGAAATTATGGTTCTAGAGATTCTGGAATTAAAATGGGGCGCGTTCCATGAACTCACAAGCGGCCATGACAGACTTCCAAGCGAGAGGCTCGTGCCAGCGCTCGTTGTGTGCAGGCACGTTCAGTGACGTGCTTCTATAGTTCATAACTTTGACGTCAGGGTCAGGATGATCAGTTGTGAACAACAAATTTGATGGTGCGCGTTCGAGTCGACGGTGAAGAGTTTGGTTGTGTACGATGAAAGCTTGGTGTCCTCGCGTTCTCGAAACATCACCGTCAATATTGACAAACTGATATTACTCTTACTTCAGTTGATGAAAGCAGAACTAGTCCCAGTTTGGCTAATTTTTGAAAGTCTATCATAAAATTATTTTACCTACCGCTGATGGCGGATAACTGCCCGGAAGCGAAATCCGTGCAAAGGTGGACAATGCTACTCGGCTGGTTGCGACCTAGCCACGTCGGGCTACACTCTGATCAAATTATAAAATGGACGACAGAGACGTTTTTAAGTAAATTCTGCTTTATCGGCGGAAACAAGAACAATATCAGACTATCAACTTTGACGGTGTTGATTTTAGAATGCAATTACCCAAGCCTCCGCTGTGCTTTTTAGAGACCATCAAGGTCGCAGCTGATAATCTTCATCGTGACATTAAACTTATACGAACCACGTTCGTCTCCGCGTGCTTTCTCGTGCTGCTCTAGCTTGGCACCTAGGGAGTAGTAGGGATTTTTCGCTTTTTCAATGAAAAACGTCACGAAGATATACGGATCTGCGGGTTTATGAGAAAAGAAACCTTCGCTGCAATCTTTCGACTCCTCCCCCCGCTATGTCATAACACATAGAAAGTTGTGTCTGACGAGTTTAGCGACCCAGGACTTGATGGACTCTCTGCAGAGTTTTACAAGACATACAAAGGCCTGCCATGTCCTTTCCTACTTGAGGTTTTTTCGAGGAATATGAGATGGGAACTTTACCACCCTCATTTTATGACAGCCATACCGCGTTGATCCAGTGGCTGGAGCCCGATCACCGCCCCCCCCCCCCCTCCCCCGCGATGCTGCACAGACTGCGCAAATCCGAACTTGGCGCGAAGCTTGGATGGATACGAAACGTTTGTATCCGAGCACATAAGATTCTAACTTTCAAAGTTCGAAATTTCGACCACTTTACAGTCGAAGCTCTGATATGTTTGTACAAACCATGTATTGTTGTCGTTTCCTCCGACGTTCCAATTAATATGGTAAGCAGAGGCCCCAAGCGTCAAAGCGCACCTGCATCCTCGTGAAAACGCGGCGTAGAAAAAAAGAAAAACAACGAGCCTGTTTCCATTTGAGAACGGGCTTTAAACTAACGACGTTCTGTCACAAATTTCAGTATTTTTTTTTCCTTTACTTTGGTTGTGTCGCTTTTCAGCACGTCTTTCTTTTTTCCCCACTGAAGCCCCCATATCAGAAATGTTTGGAATCCATCCCTGTCGATTGCCGCTTCCACTAATCGGATAATCTTTGGACGTCCTCGCGCCTCTGCCGCCAGGATAAGGCCGCCGGGCAGCTCATTGCCTACTTCCTGAAAGGGAGAAATTGCAGACATGTGTTTCTGTCGAGGGCAGTCGTCGGGAGATTTTATATTTATGTATTGCTTGGGTAGCCTGGTTGGAGTAGAAGGTGACTTCCCCGGACCTCGACCTCTGAGTCCTGAGTAGGGGATTAGTGTTTTGTGGTGTGAGTACAGTTAGTTCCATGTAGGTCTGCAAGGGCATGCGATGTCCGCTGCATTGCCACTGTAAGTGCAGTGTGGTGAAATACTTCACCGTTTGTCAAAAAGCCAGAAAGAAGCCAATACGCACATCGTTCATTTATACAATGTCTTGAGAATGCACATTTTTTTCTTTAATGCATGTAGGAAAATTTCCATACTGCATAAAGCATCCCTATAGTCGCTTTTCTGCGTAAAAGATAACGAAGTTTCCTCTGGTTCCACAGGTGCGACATGTTCAATGAACATACGTATGAGGACGTAGACAATGACATCCGATCACATTCTCGACCTTTGTGAAATATTAAGGTATATAAGCTATGATTGGACAGATCATAAAATAAATGTTTCTATTGTCAGTACCATCTGTACATTCGCAAATGAAACAGGATCTACTGGAATGCTCCTCTTCTGCGCAAATTTGTTTCTGAGAGGGGGGAAAGAAAGGGGTCATGAGCGCTCTATCCTTGCACTGTCTTGCAGATGGCGGCCAGCGGCTTGTTCCTGTTAACGGCCACGGCAGTCGGCTGGTACCATAGGCACATGCGAGACGCCGCGCAGGAGCGAAGTTTCGACTCCACCCGGCAGTGCATCGAGGCTCGAATCAAGCTTGAGTACGAGAAGGAGCAACAGGTCAGTACCTGCCAAGTAGCACCACTACAGTACGCTGCTATACTCACCGACAGCCTAAGTAACGCAGGGCGTACTTACGATATTCAGCTGGAACGTTTTTTTTTCTTTACACGACTTTACGGCACTAGCGGAAACATAGCATACTCGCACGAAACGCTATTTAACAAGAAGCCTCTTTGTTGCGGTGTTATTTTAAGAATGAAATGAAGCGTGTTTTTTTTAAATATCTCCTTTATCAAATTTCATTACGCGGTTTGGTTATCGCAGTATTGGCATAGTTCCTCTGTCACGATATTTGAATGCAGATTTGGGATTGGATCCGGGGCACTGTGTGAGTGCTCGATTTTGTGCTCGCGGTAACCAATTGCCGCGTCGAGCGTTTTTGGAGTGGCTCGTGTCCAATCGGCTGCAATGACGACAATAGCAACAGCCTAACAATATCGGGAACGCAGTGCGATACCTTTACATTTGTGTGTATTTCCTGTACGGGGCGGGAAAAGTCCTCGCTTATATAAAAGTTCTTTCCCTTTAGTTTCACACAGTTTTTCACTATGTCTGTTTTATCTTTGCTGTCCAGTATTTCAAAGATGATGGGGCAAACTTTGTTGCCAATCTTTTTTCCGAGTAGGTGAATTCTTTCTATAATATATTTCAGGACGTCTTCCACGACTATCTTTTCAATAATTTTGCTGTTTTCGTTATTCTCTTCTTTACTGCCGCATACTATCAAGTTGGGCAGTCTGCTTCAGTTTTCCATATCATCGAGCTTTTTTGTGATAGTTGTTTTAACATTCGCTTCGAGCTCCGTTATTTTGTCTTGACAGCTTTTTGTCCGTCGATCCCTCCAGTTTTCTGGAAAATAAATATTTGATTTGACATGCACTGATATTCTTCTGTAGCGTACCGATGCTTCCTAACTTGAGCTCGATGTCCAAAAGTATGCCATGTGTTGTGACCTTTTCACATTTAATATTTTGTATGACCTTAGCAATAGCATTAAGTTGGTGCAGAATAGTGGCAGTGTCTGGGTCGAGGCTGGGCTTGACGTCCCCACTAAACAAAATGAGCATTCTCAGGAAGGTAATCACATTACACAGCCGAAGAAAAAAAGGACAGTGTTCACGGCAGCAAGATGAAGCACACACTTTGGCTACGGAAGATCTTTCCGCGGTTTTTGCTCACCTGAACAAGGAAGCCCCCCTTCCTTGTTCAGGTGAGCCGGGTGGTCTAGCGCACACCAGCTCGGAGCACGTAGAGCGAAAACTCGCGCTGCAGAACCCAGGGATCCTGGGTTCAATCCTAACCCCTGCCCGTTTCGATCTGGATGAGCATCGTCCCGGCATGCGGTCTTGTATCACTACTGCGTGAGCACACTAAAGACCCCAGGTTTGCAGTCGTACTGCACTGGCAAAACTGTTCATCTACAATGTAAAACAGTGTCGCCCCATCCTGGCAGGCCGACCTTACGCTGTATAAATCACTAAACGTCCAAGTTGACTTTAGATTTTGAACAAGAAATATGAAAGGGTTGTTAAACCTCATGCCGAAGGTGCTGCCGCGCCCTATGTCAAAGTGCAGTTCGCTGCGCCTTTCTGTAGCCTCAAAAGTTTATATCAGTGATGATGGTGTTCGCTCGGTTGGTAACAAGTAACCACGCTCAAGTTCATAGACGCAGTTGTCGCTGTCGGCCACCGACGACTCTATCCCTCGGGATGACGAAGGATATGCATGGGCCGCAGTGCCGGTGTTGAAGGGGAGATACTGGCCGCAGGACGCGGCATTCCTGCTCAAACTTGTTTCATTGTTAGCGACCGGCAGCAGCAGTACGTACAGCGTAATGTGAACAAGGGAGACGAAAGGGTTGTTAAACCTTATGCTGAAGATGCTGCCGCACCCAATTCCTCGACGCGGCGTACGCCGCGTCGAGGGAGCTCCGCCAGATTCGGGTTCTCTTGTGAGATTGTCTGATTACAAGCAGTTTTATGGTGTCAAATAAATGCTTTGGAAAAATGTTCCAGTACTTACGCAGAAGCACGAAAGAAATGCTCGGCATAGTCCATTTTTAGACTTCCCGCTCGGCCTCCAAGCCTTCCTTCCCCTGTCGTCACGGCACTGCAAAGCATGAGTATATGTGAATGTTGGTTTGGGTATAGTATCTACTGCCGCTTTCGCAATAATTATCTTGAATTTCGCGAAACTGAATGGCAGAGCGCAAAGGGGAAAGGCCGGTGATTCCGAAAATAAGGTTATTTGGTGTAGTTAAAAAAATCGTCGGCGTACCTTTTAAAAAGCAGTCGCTTTTGTTGTACTGTTCCCCTTGAAGTCATTAAAAAGTCCCACAAAAAAGGCTACTTCACCCTCTTCACCCTATACCGCTCCCCCCCCCCCCCCCCCGGTCAACTTCTCCCCTTTTTTCCTTTTCTCACTTCGGCCAATTCAACAAACAACCCCCCCCCCCCCCCCTCCCCCAACCCTCGATCACATTTTACCTGTCACTGACCATTGGTAGTCCTTTGAAGGAATTGGTTAAAATAGACTGCGTAAGAACGCAATGCACTTTTGAAGCTTATTCTACCTTTGAATTGCCCAATACCAGACTTATACTTGTCAACTATAATGGCAAGGCAAAATCATTATCGCTAGCTAAAAGCAAATTAAAGGTGCCCTGAGGAGGTTTCTGAGGTAGCCTAAATCTGTCGATAACTCCCTCTGCTGGAGCTAAGCATCCGAGAAATCCCTAGATCATGAAGACACGCGGCCGATTCTGCTATTACAAATACAATCAAAGATCGCAACACACCGAGGTCATCTCCAGCGATGGGAGGACCATGTTCCGAAAATAGGACCACTGTCAACCAATAGCCAGCAAAGGATCATCTCGCCTCCGACCGGTGGAACCGCGGAGTGATATCCGGATGCACGCGACTCGTTGCCCATACAGCCCGGACTAAGATTCAGCCCAGCGAGCTGACAACTGGACACATAAATCCCAAGGAAAAGAAAAACAAAAACATAGTCCGTTGTTTTTGAGACGATGATTGCAATATTATGTTACCTCTCCGTGATAAATTACATTTTTTAACTATTCTTATTTGCTTTTATCATCTACAAAAAACATACACATTTTGTAATAATAGCGTTTGCAATCTCAACGAATTGTCGCGTTTTCATTGGCCACATATCGTGATGGCTGCCGGAACGATGCTCCTCCCATCGCCGGAGATGATTTCTTTGTGTTCGATCATTGAGTGTTTTTTAATAACAGGGAAATCGGCCTCGCATCGTTATGATTTTGGGATATCTGGGATGCTTAGAGACCGCAGAGTGAGTTTTCGCCATATTTAGGCGATCTCAGAAACCTCCTCAGGGCACCATCAAGGTAGACCGACACTACCTATACATATATACACTGCGACAGCAGGTGTAATTGGGAGCGTTAAGAAAATTATTAATATGTCAATTTATGTATCGGAAACAGTTACAAGGTTTAAGAACAAAAGTCTGAATACTTGGCTGTCCGGCCGCATGTCACGTGCGTGCAAAACCTGAAGAGTTCAGGGTGGCTGCTCTGGAGTTACTGCTCAGGATTGGGTCACGATGTCTCTGCCAAACCTGAAAATAACGACTCGCCCAACTACAAATGTTAACAGTATGCTTTAAATTTGTCATTCGTTTAATAACAACTGAAAACGAGGACACTGTCTTGATATTTCATAGCAATGTGCCTAGTCCCAGTGAAACCAAAAGACTTTGTTTGTATATTACATTTTTAATTATACATTAATAATTAATTAATTTATTTATTATACTTTTGTGGTGCTCCTAAAAAGCACGTAAGCCGATGAAATGGTGCCTTGGTAGTCGAATACATATCGCATTGATGCAGAACGTTTGTTAGGGAAACAACACAAAGTCATTGTAAATTAAAAACAAAAAAATATTGAACTCAATGTAGTCGAAATAATAAAAAAAAAGCATTACTGGCAGCGTTTGCGAAGTATGTCCAAAAATATGTAGTGAGTGTAAGAAAATTGCACACACCGTGTCCCAACTGTGCATACAATGCACAGTTGGGACACGAAAGTTGAGAAAGAAAAGTTCACACCGCATTTTTCTACATAAAACTTCTGGCTAAAGAAAAAAACAGCAACATTTATTCAAAACAGTTTAGCAAAAATCCAATAGTAACATTTTCCCGCAAAAATATATCTACCTCATCATTGTTCATCCAAGCCGACGTATTAAACGCCTACTGGATACGTTCCAGGGGTCTTATGTTTTTCCACTCTGAGCAACCGAATGCACGATGAAAGCGAAAAGTCCTGTTAGGTACAGAAAGGGAAACAGAAGAGGTTAGTTTTTGACAATTCATGTAGTGGGGACATTTGTGCAAAAAGGAAAAATCCCGTGTTTGCCTCTTTTCGGAAACAAGACTTCGTGTTTCATGCGATTTCTGTAAAGCCAGGTTCACGCTGCTTATATATCATACAAAAGACAGCCTGCATACAGATTCGAACGCGGTTCACCGCGAGATCCGCGTGCTTCGAATGACGCATGGCAATGAGTTCAAGGAGGAAACTTGGCACACTGCATTCGAACCAATTGGATATTGCGGTGACTCGTGTTCAGGGGCGGATCCAGACCTCCATTTTAGGGGGGGGCGGTTCCTCAGTGTAAAACGGCCGGGGGGGGGGGGGGGGGAGTGTTTATATTTTTTGTGGAGTTATCGTTTTTACTAAACTCTGATAAAATAATATACATCTTGAGAGCTTTTGTATCGGTTTACCTGTCGGGGATGAACTTTTTGAATTAAAACCTTTCGGGTGACCACGCTAGAGGTAAGTATCTAGAAAATTGTGGTGGCACTATCCTTTCTGAACACCATAACGCAAGGAATTTTGTAGTTCATAGAAAACGGGATTACTCCATTCGCGTGGCAGCGCGCTATAAATGGAACAAGAACTTTAACTACTGGGGATGAATGTTTGGTGCTATAGCGG